TCGATTTTGACTCATAGTGATTCCTCTTTGGGTTTCTGACTCCTCTTTGGGTTTCTGAGATGGTATCACTATGGAAGTAGATTGTTCAACCTTCCTTCCGAGGAGTGGCTGGTGGGTTTGAACCACCAGCCTTCTGGATAGCAGTCAAATGCCTTAGGCACTGAGCCATCAGAGCTCCCTTTGATGACTAGGAGTCTGAATTCAGGACATCAAGCAGATCTCTCTGTCTATGGTAGAAGAGCATTCCTTGTAACTTTCAGTTTCTGGCAGTCCCTAATGTTTCTTAGAATTCCTTGGCTTATAGATAATAAGCATGCTGTCTTCCTTTGTGTGTGTGACTCTCAGTGTCTGTTTTCCTTTTTGATTATGCAACACTCAGAATAGATTAGGTTTAAGACCTATGCTGTGGTATTATGACCCCATTAACTCAACACAAGAAAATCATTATTTCAACAGGGCCACATTCACAGGTACAGGGATTAGGATTTAACATTAATCTTTTTTTTTTTGGAGGAGGGACACAAATCAATCCATAACACTGATACAGTCAACACTCTGCTAAAACATTCCCATGGCCCCTCACTGCCCTCTAGATAAAGCACAGGCACTAACAAGGGTTAGAAGACCACTCACCACTTTTCTTTGCCTCCTTCTCTAGCCTTACTTTTTTGCTCTTCTCACCACTTAGATTATAAACTACTTTTATTTCTCCAAAACCATCCATATGTCTCCTATATACTTGCACTTTTAGGGTTTTCTAAATCCAATTATTTTCTTCTGTAATGTTCTCTTTTTTTTTTTTTTTCTCTTTTCCTTCTCCCTCCCTGCTCCTTAGCCTATTAACTCTAAATATAACTCATCTTTCAAGTCTAGATTTAGATGTCACCTCTTTCAGCAGACCTTCTGTGGCCACCAAGTTCAAGCTAGGTGACATATAAGCTATTCCAATAATGGCCTTTATTCCCATCCATAGTGTATGGTCATGGTTGCTTGCTGTGCCTCCTACTATCTGCAAACTCTGTGAGAGCAGGAACCTCCCCATTTGGTTCTGTGTATGACCTACCACAGTGTCTGGCTGAGGCCAAGTATGCCATAAATATGCTTTAAATAAAGAAATAAAGTTATTTAACTTTTGTAAGCCTTAGTTTTCCAGATGTAAAAGTGTGCTGTTGTTACCTACCTAATAGGTTTGTTGTAAGGATTAAATTTAATGACATGACCAAAGCCATATATGGTGTTTCATATACAGTTTGTGCCCAATAAATCATTTTTCTTATTCTTTTGCCCATGTAGAATCATATCACTCCTATCCACTGTAGTGAGGCTCTTGATTTTTCCATAAAATATTTCATGACTATAAAATATTTGTAGGCTGCTATCCATACTGATAAAGAGCTCTGGTAGTGCAGTGGTAAGACATTCAGTGGCTAACCAGAAAGTCGGTGGTTCAAACTCATCAGCTATTCTGTGGGAGGAACTTGAAGCAATCTACTTCCATAAAGATTTACAGCCTTAGAAACTCAATGGGGGTCGCTATGAGTCTGAATTGACTAGATAGTAGTGGGAATCTATACTGATGAGTTACCACTTGGCTGTCAGTTTGTCATACTGTGGTGGCTTGTGTGTTGCTGTGAGACTGGAAACTATTCCACCGGCATTTCAAATACCAGCAGGGTAACTCACTGTGAACAGGTTTCACTTCTGAAAAAAAAAATTGGCCAATGAAACCTTACGAATAGTGGTGAAACATTGCTTGATATATTCCTAGAAAACTTTATGAACAGCAATGGAACATTGTCTGATATAGTGCCAGAAGATGAGCCCCTCAGCTTGGAAGGCACTAAAAATATGACTGGGAAAGAGCTGCCTCTTCAAAGTAGAGTTTACCTTAATGAAGTGGATGGAGTAAAGCTTTTGGGAAGTTCATTTGCTGATGAGGCACAACTCAAAATAGGAAGAAGCAGCTGAAAACACCCATTAATAATCAAAATGTGGAATGTGCAAAGTATGAAACTAGGAAAATTGGAAGTTGTCAAAATGATATGAAATGCATAAAGACTGATATCTTAGGCATTAGTGAGCTGAAATGGTATTGGCCCTATTAAATCACATAATCATATGATCTACTATGCCAGGAATAACAAAATGAAGAGGAATGGCATCACATTTTTCATCAAAAAAACATTTCAGAATCTATCCTGAAGTACAAATCTGTCAGTGATAGGATAATATCCATCCACCTACAATAATGACCAGGTAATACTACTATCATTCAAGTTTATTCACAAACCACTAAAGCCAAAGTTGAAGAAATTGAAGAATTTTACCAATTACAGCAATACGAAATTGACAAAACATGCAACCAAGATGTATTGATTATTACTGGTGATTGGAATGAGAAAATTGGAAACAAAGAAAAATCATTGGTAGTTGGAAAATATGGCCTTGGTGATAGAAATGATGCCGGAGATCACATAATAGAGTTTTTCAAGACCAATGACTTATTCATTGCAAGTACCATTTTTCCACTACATAAACTGTGCTACACACGTGGACCTCACCAGATGGAATACACAGGAATCATATTGACTACATCTGTGGAAAGAGGTGATGGAGAAGCTCAATATCATCAGTAAAAACAAAGCTAAGAGCTGAATGGGGAACAGACCATCAATTGCTCATTACAAGTTCAAGGTGAAGCTGAAGAAAATTAAAACAAGTCTGTGGAACCCAAAATACAAACTTGATTATATCCCATCTGAATTTAGGGACCATCTGAAGAATAGATTTGCTGTTGGAACACTAATGACCAAAGACTACAAGATTTGGGGTAGACATTAAGAAAATCATACTTGAAGAAAGCAAATGGTATTAAAAAGACAGGAAAGTAAAAAAAGACCAAAATGGATGTCAGAAGAGACTCTGAAACTTGCTCTTGATGGAAGAAATGATGAAAGAGCTGAACAGAAGATTTCGAAGGGCAGCTCAAGAACACAGAGTAAAGTTTTATAATGAAATGTGCAAAGACCTGGAGTTAGAAAACCAAAAGGGAAGAACACACTCAACATTTCTCAAGCTGAAAGAACTGAAGACAAAATTCGAGCCTCAAGTTGCAGTATTGAAGGATTTTATGGGCAATTTTATCTGTGTTTTATTGACTATGCAAAGGCATTTGACTGTGTGGATCATAATAAATTATGGATAACATTTCAAAAATGGGAATTTCAGAACACTTAATTGTGCTCATGAGAAACCTATACTTAGACCAAGAGGCTGTCATTCAAATGGATCAAGGGGATATTGCCTGGTTTAAAATCAGGAAAAGTGTGTGTCAGGGTTGTATCACTTCACCATACTTACTTAATTTGTATGCTGAGCAAATAATCCAAGAAGCTACACTATATGAAGAAGAATGCAGCATCAGTGTTGGAGGAAAACTCATTAACAACCTGTGATATGCAGATGACACAACCTTGCTTGCTGAAAGGGAAGATGACTTGAAGCACTGACTGGTGAAGACCAAAAACCAAAAACTTCTGTATGGATTATACCTCAACATAAAGTAAATGAAAATCCTCGCAACTAGACCAATAAGTAACATCACAATCAATGGAGAAAATATTTAAATTTTCAAGGATTTCGTTTTACTTGGATCCACAATTAATGCCCATGGAAACAGCAGTCAAGAATTCAGATATTGCATTGCACTGGGCAACTATACTGCAAGGGACCTCTATAAAGACTGAGGTGCACTTAAACCACCTTATGGTGCATGTGAAAGCTGGACAATGAATAAGGAAGACTGAAGAAGAGTTGATACCTTTGAATTGCGGTGTTGATGAAGAATACCGAACTGCTAGAAGAATGAACAAATCTGTCCTGCAAGAAGTACAGCTGTACTTCTTGTACAAAGTACAAACTAAAAAGCAGAAACTGAAGAAAACTAAGAAGTACAAGAAGTACACTTCAGAAGCAAAAATGGCCAGACTTTGTTTCACCTACTTTGGTCATGTTATCAGAAGGGACCAGTCCTTGGAGAAAGATATCACACTTGGTAAAGTCAAAGCCCCCCGCCCACCCCCCCAAAAAAAATAAAAAAACCAAACTTGCTGCCGTTGAGTCGGATCTGACTCATAGTGACTCCTCCTTGGGTTTCCAAGGCGGTGTCTCTACAGAAGTAGATTGCCCAATCTTCCTTTTGAGGAGTGGGGGCTTGGAACTTCCAGCCTTCTGGTTAGCAGTCAAATCCCTTAGGCACTATGCTAAGATCCTCAGTGAGATGGATTGACATGGTGGCTGCAAATTGGTTCAAGCATAACAAAGATTGGGAGAATGGTGCAGGACTGAGCAGTGTTTAGTTCTATTGTGCCCAGGGTCGCTATGAGTCAGACCCTACTCAATGGCACCTAACAACACCACCACCACCGAGTAGACATTCAATTTTCAGTAAGCCCTTCCAATTGTGTCTCATTTCATTTACCTGATATTAAAAACGACTATGGTCGGAGCAAGAGGGAATGGAATTTTTATCATTGACCCTCTTTCCATCGTTCATTCTCTTATAACCTTTAATAACATTGCTCTTGGGATGTAATATTCTGAACATTTTAATCTCTTTTATTCCATTGCTGACAAGGCTCGCAGTGCCTTTGCTGCCCCCCACCCCAAATCTGCTAATTAAATCAGCCTAAGGATGTGCTTATTTCTATTAAGAAACTATATTTACCTTTGAATACCTTTTTTTTCTATCATAGATACTTTCTTTGTTGCACAAATAGTATCTAATTCTGTTCCCCTTTCCCTCAAATGTGTTAATCACATAATCCTGAGTCTTGAAAGAAGCTTTCTTCTTTGGGAACTCAAATGTCACATTAAGTGGCCTGACGTTCATTTGCAACTGAGAATGTATTTTAGGAAATTGGTTGGCTCATTAATATTCTCCCTTCTATCTTCTCTCTCACTCTTTCTGCCCCTTGTTCTAATTTTTCTTGCTTCTTTACTATTCCTAATCAGGCACGTGTTCACTGCAGCTCAGTACCAACCGGAGACCAGTCCCTATCCTACATACATGGCCTCCCCAGGAGAAACCTTAGAGACTGGACCCTGGAACAGATGGTGAGGGGCGGCTCTGACCAACCAGAGGTGTGTATGCTAAGAGAAGTTGAGTTGTTTCTCTGTAGATGAAGTGGTATTATTTGCTGACTGTAGGTTTTCATGTGGAGAGAGTGAAGTGACAGTCTGGGGATGGACTGATGGACAACAGATTCCTCTCGTGAGTCTAGATCATCCATCCAGTTTACTTGCCAATAAGCTTCCCCTGAGGAGTCCACAGTCAAACTTTATATGTCTCAGCTGAACTCTTCACCTTCCTCCAGCTTCCTTTTTCTCAAGGGTTCCTACACTCAGGAAGATTGACTGTTCTCTCAGTTACCTCAACAAAGATCTGGGCATCATCCTTTACCTGCTCCCTCAAACTTTAGCCTGAATGCCCAAACCAGTGGGCCCATTATTCCAAATTCTCATGCAATCATAAAAGTTATTTTTTAAAAAACACAGATAATGTAACAGCCTTCTAACAGAGTAAACCAGTCATAGAGTCAATTCCAATTCTTGATGACCCCCATGCATCAGATTAGAACTGTGCTCCACAGGGTTTTTAATGGCTGACTCTTTGGAAATAGATCACCAGGCCTTTCTTCCACTATCTTCATAATTGGTTGTAGATCAGACTGTTGTAATCCAGTAGGTACTCTGAAATAGTATGCTTCCCTTCTTCTCCTGAAGAAAACTAGTGAAGTGCAAACTAATGAATAGATGCAGAATGAATACTTACCTTCAGGTATGTCTTGGGTCTCTAGTCCTGCTATAACATAAATACCACAAATGGATGACTTTAACAAACAGGGGTTTATTCTCTTACAATTTAGGAGGCTAGAAGTCCAAGTTCAAAGTGCCAACTCTAGGGACTGAGAGAAGGCCTCTCAACCTTGGGCTTCAGCTCTGCCTCTTGTTCCTCTGGAGCTGGATGCTTTTTCTGACTCATGCAGCTGCTGGCTGCTGAGGCTGACAAATCCAAGATTGACAGGTAAAATGGCAAAATCCCAAGATCATCAGGCACACAGCAGGCCACTTATTCATGTCTAGGAACAATCCCCAAATTGGCAGGCAACACATATCCAAATGTGCCAAAAAGCTAGACAGCTTTCTCAAAGCTTCTCCTTATATACTGGAAGCAGGCCACACCCTGAAGGCAACTTCTTACCTACTCACAGCAGATTCCACCGTTGAGGTGATTACAATATCATCATGAGGAATAACTACATCCAGCTGCCCAGCCACTCAAAACCATGGCGCAGCCAAGTTGACATACAATCTTAACTATCACAAGGTGTTACCAACTTGTCCTGTTCTAAGTCAGGCTGAACTTGGACATTCTGACATTAGTTCCACTGTGCCTGTGCTTCTTGCATTGACCTTCTCATTTTAGAGCCAGCTGTGTTGATTTTTTTTTTTCCTATTGTTTGTGTCAGGATATTGGTCAGAGGCCAAGCAGAACAACAAGGGAAGATACTTTTCTTCTTTCCCTGGTCAGAAGAGAACTCAAGTCGTGTCCTTTGAGTTCCAAATTATTAGACAAGATTCAGAAAGAGCTGAAGATCCTGGACCCCGTCTCTTCAGGGTATCTTCTCCAATCTCAGCTAAGTCGTCTCTTCTTGAGGCATGAAGTCCCTCTGAAGTTACCAACAATCAAGATCCTTTGCCAGAGATTTTTGGGAAAGGGCTCTCCTGAAATGGTATGGCCATCATGCTGTTTCAAGTGTGGATTCCTTTTGTTTTTCTCACTTGTACACACCAGGACAAACATAATTGAGAGGTTGATTCCTTTAAGAATAATCTTTACTATTTATTCCTAAGGTAAAAAGCCCATTTATATTCATATATAGAAATTTCTAGTCAGAATAGACAAGAATAAGAAATAGATTTGGATCTCCTGTTTAATTTCTCTTTTAAGGGCTTTCCTGTCCCAATTTTCATTTTTTACTCTGAATCTATTAGGTTAGTCATAGATTCATAATAATGGGCACACTTGAGTCCATTGAGTCTATTCATAAGCTGACTCTGCCTGCAGTTCCCAATGTAAGAGTGGCATACTTGACTAAAATCTTCTACATGTCATGAAAATTTCCTAGAGAGTTAAAGGTGGGAATTATCTTCAAAATATAATTCACCACCACTATTTTACCAATTAGTGAACTGAAGCCCAGAGAGGTCAAGGAACATTCTCAGGGCACCAAGGAATTAATGGTAGACCCAGGAGTAAAACATAGATACCCCAACAACAAAGCCAGTTCTCTAGGCACTGTGCTTCATAGAGCTTACAAATGGGGAGAATGTAAAGCACAGTTCAAAAGTAACCAAATTCAGGGAGACAGAGAAACATATTCTAAAACAGGAAGATGGAATGACAGTGGGCAAATCATTAGTAGTTATGTGTGAATAGCAAGATGATAGACAAAGAACACAATCGTCAAAAATGAAGAACTCATAGAGATAATCTCAGCATTTAGTAATATAACAAATGCAAATGACCTCTTCCTATGCCTAGCAATTAGTAGGCCATCAAAAGTTAGTTCTCAAATGGAAACAATCAGTCCTAGTGACTGGTACACCATCCGATCTGCAACCTATACAACTATGAGACCAGAAGAACTAGATGGTGCATGGCTACCACTGTCATCCACTTGGAAGGGATGTAGGAGATCCTGGATAGAGAGGAAGAACAGTGTGGAACAAAATTCAAAATCATTTGGAGGAA